TCTGTTTGTGTTTGCGTTACTGTAAACTCTGTCCTTTTTGGCAATAATATTGATAATCTGGGTCAATTTAATTTGCATTGCTGAATCTTATAGCCATCTATAATGTTATGTATGTTAGCCTTTCATGGATTACTGAAATGTTTTTAAAAATATTTTTGAGCTGATTTGGATGCCTTCACTAGCTTAAAATTCATGTTCTTTGTCTCTTGAGAATATCAGGTTCTGTTTTGAGTGTCTGCTTGTTACTTCCAGTGGAAACGCTAGTATTCATTTGAGACCTGTAGCTGAAGGAAATTAATTCTGAATACAGAATTCAGAGCGTTTCTGAAAGACGCTATGAGTGAGGATGTGAAGGTCTCTTAAATTAGATTGTGTACACACAAAAGCCTGCAAAACGAGGACAGAATTTCCTGTGTCAAATGTGTCGCAATAAGTCTTAAAAAAAATTTCACCACAAACAGGAAATCGCTTTTTCTCAATGTCAACAAACCAAAACCATTTTGTGCCCTGCTCCGAGTGCAGCCTAGAGACCTGCATACCTGCGGGACCCGACGCATCAGAGTGCGGCGCGGGACAAGACTTGATGTGCGAGTGTGGGTGCGGGCGGGTAGACACTCATGTGTGTGTGTGTGTGCAGGATGCGGGAGAATAAAATGATTTGTGGGACTCCCGCAAAATAAAAATATCCAAACATAAAATATCTAATAAATAAATTGTTATTCATGTATTGCACAAAAGCAACAAGAACTAATATAAAATAAAAAAGATTAACCGGCGCAAGCATAGGCAGAGTTTCTATTTATAACGCGATTGCAGCATTGAGCAATGTAGCCAATCACAGACATATCTGTTGATTTCTGGAACGCAATGACCAATCAGAGGTGTTTAAGTTAGAATCCACTCAACGCTCAAATGCCTGAGTTCTTGTGCAGCGTTGAAATTTGCATGCTCACGAATCCTCTAATTATAACACACAAAGTGTAGACATTATGAAAGATTCATTGTGCATATATTCATTGTGTTATAACAGAGCTTTGTGAGATTGCGATGAACTGAGATGTCAGCTTTTTTGTGATTATAAAGTGAGCGCTCTTTGCTCGCATTCTGCCAGGCCAAACCATGCACGCAGCAGCCCATGCTTGCTTTTCAGTTTAAAATAACAGTGGTTTGTGAATGTTGATGCTTTAATAACCAATATTTTGTCAGGAGCGTTTATGCTGGGATGTTGTGGCGCTTACAGGATGTTTTAATGTAAATTGCATGGATGTATTGAGAAAAATCTATATAGGCTACTTTTATGCAGGCTTTTGCGGGCAGGAGCGGGACAAGATAACATATATTTCTGGGGGAGCGGGAAAAGTCAGTCCCTCGCAGGTCTCTAGTGCAGCAGTCTCGTGGTTTGTAATCTCTCCACACTATTAGCAATGCACTAAATTGGACGGTTGGCTCAAAAAGTAGAGTTTAATTCTTGGTACATTAACTGTAGAGGGGAGGGGAGGGAAGGGGGGAATGACAGGGCCTCTCTATTCATGTTAATGACCTGTGGAGTAATCAGAGCTGAGTGTGAGAGAATTTTACAGATGTTTCTGCTTCTCTGTTTAATTCCCACACTCAACAAACACAGAGGCCCTTCTTCACACACCTTTCTGTGCTCTATGCTTGGACCCACCTTTGGTGATTAACTATTTTTATTTTTATTTTATTTTGTAACCTCACTTATTGTGTCCATATTCTCCCTTTTGATAATCTCCGCCACTTCTTTCTCTATCTTCCCATTTTCTCTACCTATTGTGCAGGAGCATGATGTAATTCTTAAGAATCGAGTGGAGCTGATCAAAGGTCAGCTTCACTGTCATTCTGTGGACTTTCTCCAATGCAGCTCAATTCATATTGTGTATTGCTCCATCCTTTAGAGCAGGGGTGCCCAAACTCGGTCCTGGAGGGCCGGTGTCCTGCAGAGTTTAGCTCCAACTTGCCTCAACACACCTGCTGGTAAGTTTCTAGTATGCCTATAAGAGCTTGATTAGCTGCTTCAGGTGTGTTTAATTGGGGTTGGAGCTAAACTCTGCAGGACACCGGCCCTCCAGGACCGAGTTTGGGCACCCCTGCTTTAGAGGTTGTTTTCATATTATCCTGTATTGTTGTTGTTGTTGTTATTATTAATATTTTTTTTAGTTCTTCTTTAGCTTAAGTGGTATTGCATAGTGCAACACCAAGGTCGTGGGTTTGATTCCCAGTGAATACAAGACCTACCTGATAAAAGCATCTGCCAAATGCGTTAATAGAAATGACAGAGAATTATTTTTTTTACCTCCATGATAATGAGAATGAAAGTCCTATGAACAGCAAGCTTTATTCCTTGAATGCATTTACATGTACAAAATCATTCACTAACTTGACCTTTCATGTTGTCGGGTTATTAAGCATAATTGGTGTAAGATGTTACATGTTTCCCAGCTTTTGAACCTTTCATTGTGTAGTGTTTTTTTGGGGCATATGAGCCCCTTCTGCAAATAACAGTATGCCTGTTCACGTGTGACATAATGGAGATGCTGCCATGGCAACCAAGGGGACTTCAGAATGGAGCAGTTCGTCTGGGGTGCCGTTTCAAGAGCCTGGTTGTGAAAGACGTTATGGGCTTGATTAGGCAGCAGCTGAAGTGGCTCTGAGTGCTGTGTGTGAGGTGGCAGGGTGACGTGAGGCAGTGCCACACAGTCTGAGCTTTTGTTCTGGACTCAGTCGAGCTGATGGTGTGTCCTGTGCTCCCCTCGTACCATGACTGCATCTCGTCTCATTAGTCTGAATCAGATGTACCTACCCTGCCTCACGAGCAAGTTTGCAGAGAGAAGTGGCCTGTGTTCAGATTAATCATAATGTCCAGTCCAACCCTTTCTAAGTGAATCCGAAAAACAATGACTTTTGTGTCCATATAACAGAAATGCATGCATTAAAGTATTGGTTTATTATTAAATATTACAATGAAATAAAAATATAATAAAATACAAAAAGTTTTCATAAAAATATTGATTATAAATAAGAAATATTTATTTAAAAAAATTGTTTGGTTGAGGTCTGAACCTGGGTCTCTTTAAATGTTAAATAATTAATTTTTTATTTTTCTTGAAGTGAGCCAACATTGCAGCTGGTGCCCCCCTCAATAAACAACGAAAAAAGGTGCTTAAATCTTGTGGCTGTTTGAAAATTTTATGCTACTGTTATTTAACATACTTAATTCAATTATTTTGCTCTTTGGTCAAATAATGGCACTTGATAAACGCTTGCAGGTTATTCCTCAAGCTGGAATTTGATGGTCAGGTTTGGGGCATTGCATTGTGAAATACAGTATTTAACACAGTGTTGTTGGTTTGTATACTGCACATTTTCACCAGTGTGGTTGGTCATCATGGTAAATGCATGCTTTGTGTGGTACATACTGCTTAAATAGTACACAATATGCATAGTGTGCCATTCCAGACACACTCTTGCTCTTTTTTTTATTTTTATTTTATTTATTTATTTTTTTAAAGATTTTACTTTTAAAGAGCTGCTCTCTTTCACCAAGGCCTGCTGAATTGAGGTATTCTGAGGATGTCTCTTTCTTCCTGTAGAGTTTGGATTGTTTTACGTGAATCAGATTTGACCTAGATATCCACTCTTTTGTTATGAGAGTGGAAGGCTGTGTAGTTTCATAATGAAAAGCAGACTACAAGAGCCGTCCAGAAATCATTTGAGCAACAGTCTCTTCAAGAAAAGCACAATAGACTTTGCCAACTGCTGTTGATGTCAAACTGAAAAAGAGAAGTGGGAGTTTTCTCCTCATTCTGGAGACATTTATAATCAGATTGATAGTGGGCCAGTCGTTTTGATTTTATTTTGGCTCCGTTCTTAGTATTTAGTTCAGTGGGCTGTTTAATGAGCATTATATGACTGTAATTTATTCCCTCAGAGAATCCTCTGTTTCATGAGTTTAAGTCATTACACGGTGTTGCTTCTTGAATGTTTTTTTACCACATTCACATTTTAGCTTTGATTGGCTTGATTTCCCTCGACTTGATTGCCCAAGAATGAAAGTATGGGCCTGCAAGATATTGTGATCCATTGGAGCTAAGATGTGGCAAAAAGTGTCTTAAGTAGGGCTGCAACTAATCGATAAAATCAGTAATGAAAATAATCAAATAAATTAAAATTTTTGATTAGTCTCATGTTACACAAACATCACCATTTTGCAAAAACCTTGTCATAACAGCAATTAAGTGATTCAACACCTGTTGCTATTAACTTTGAAAACTATATAGAGAGCACACGCATGTCCCTTAAAACAAAGAAAGAGACTTTAAGACAGTATACATTGTTCAATTAAATTTACATTCACATTTTAGCTTTGATTGGCTTGATTTCCCTCGACTTGATTGCCCAAGAATGAAAGTATGGGCCTGCAAGATATTGTGATCCATTGGAGCTAAGATGTGGCAAAAAGTGTCTTAAGTAGGGCTGCAACTAATCGATAAAATCAGTAATGAAAATAATCAAATAAATTAAAATGTTTGATTAGTCTCATGTTACACAAACATCACCATTTTGCAAAAACCTTGTCATAACAGCAATTAAGTGATTCAACACCTGTTGCTATTAACTTTGAAAACTATAGAGAGAGCACACGCATGTCCCTTAAAACAAAGAAAGAGACTTTAAGACAGTATACACATTGTTCAATTAAATTTACTTAACTACTTCACATTACTTTTACAGTAAAGTCATTACTTTGTTGTAACATTTTAGATTTTAAACAGTATTTATCCACCGTGTATAGCAAGCATTTATAAAGATGTTGTTTTAAGAGCGTAAAAACGGATACTTGATCAATTGAAAAATATAATCAACTCAATAATCAATTATCAAAGCCTAGTCTGAAGCTTTTTCCCTTGAGGTAGTATGTTCCCAAATCAGATAGGAACACTTGGAATGCAACACTGTAAAATATTCCTTGACTTCGCATTAAGATATGGTGCTCCTGGGGTGGAGATGACTGGACTTCATAAAGACACTGCTGCCGTCACTCAGATACATTTCCTCTATGGACAGGTAAGACCATGTTTCAACCATTGTAGCTTATTAGATGTTGGTGTGTGTGTTATTGAAGTTGTAGAGGTCTTTTATTTTGAAAGTTACCATTTGAACAGTTGTGTCTTTAAACCATACGAGTTTTTTTCTGTTTATAGGGGAGGATACTTTCTTTGTTGGATGATAACACCATTCACCTATGGGAGATTGTGCAGAGAGAAAACCGCTCGCATTTAGTGGAGGTTCATAGCTTCAACCTGCCTGGCAGGCCAGGCATCGAGAGCACCAGGTAAGGTTTTGTTCCTTATTCTGGTTGCATTTCCCCAAGTTTGCTTACTGATGCCCTTTATCATCTTGTCCAAACCATGACCTTTATGTTGCTTCCTTCTCCTCCATAGTGCGACACGTGTGACCGTCATGCTGTTGAAGCTGAGCTGTGATCTTCTTGCTCTGGGCACTGAAGGTGGCGGAGTGCACTTCCTGGAACTGCCCACCCTCACTTTGCTGAACAAGTCGCTGTTCCAGGATGAGATCATGCAGAGGTGAGAGGTGCCCTTTATTCCTGTGATGGCAAAGCTGATTTTTCAGCATCATTACTCCAGTCTTCAGTGTCACATGATCCTTCAGAAACCATTCTAATATGCTGATTTGCTGTTCAAGAAACATTTCTCATCATTATATGGAAACAGTTGTGTTGCTTGATATTCTCGTGGAAACTGTGATACACTTTTTCATGATTCTTTGAATAGAAAGTTCAAAAGAACAGAATTTATTTTGAAATAGAAATTGCAGAGTAAAAGTATTCTCTAGTACAGTGGTTCTCAACCTGCGGGCCGCATGTGGCCCGTCACAAATTCAAATGCGGCCCACCATGCTGAACACAATAAAAAAAATAACTTTCAGTTTTACAAATCATTTTAGTTTTTACATTAATTTAAAAATGTACTAAACAAATATAAGCTAGAATGTTTTTATGTAAAATAATTTTGTTTTTCATATTATTTTCAGACATGAGCAGACCTGTACTCAAGTAATTAACGTTACGCATTTAACGAACACTTACAAGCGCGCACTTTGGCAGAATTCAATTCAAATAGTCATCAGCAGCCATTAGTTCGGTAAAATTGAGCATCAGAATGGACACATTTGTTATTAAGGGAGAAAAACGAAATGTGGAAAATGCCAGCGAA